AAACAAACCTTTTCGCCTCCGCCGTCTGTTGCTGTGAGGGAGTTCCCAGTGCTTGGGCAGGTTGCGAAGGCCAGAGTTCACCAACGTTTAATGCTATGCCTACATGGCCCCGAGCGAACCCTCCGCCGTTGGCCAACATGATCTGCGGTTCAAGGAACGCTTTGAAGCATTCATGGCAAGTAAGCAGCAAACCTGGAACACAAACTCAGACCTGAAATTATCAATGCTGTAAAGGCAATAGCATGAGCTAGCATTGTCCAGCAGTGATTACCAGAATTTTTTTTCGTTGTGCTACGGTACCCTTATGCCAGATCTGCGCTACCAGCGCCACGATACCTGAGACCCCTAGCCCGCAAATCCGTAGCTCCGCTTGTCATCTGATGTTTGCTTCTAGTCCTTGAGCCAATCTCTTTATGCCTAGCCGGTGGAAGGCTGCTTTCCAGCTTTGCTGCCTTGTGCTGGCCGAGGCCAGCCTGATAATCAGAGTGCAGCTCCGGGGCTGTACCTGAGCCTCCAGCAGGCTGTCCTACATCGGTGTTTATTCAGGCAAAGGCTAGCAGTAGAGTCAAGCGTTCTCCAGTTGCTCATCTCTAGGCCACGCCTGCACGAATCGCTGTCTACGACTCCTGCACTGCACGTGAAGATGTTAATACGGCAGCTGGTCTGAAAAAATAGCAGCCTTCATCGCCCTAAATCCTAGCTGAATCCTGAACGTGCCTGGGTTTCAACTGTCATAGATGCCCGCCAAGGAGTACAACCTTCAGGGAACAACTGCCACTGGTGCACCCTTCTACAAAGCCGTTGCAAGCGATCTCCACCTCTACTTTGACCCCAGCTGTGATGGGGTGACTGCGGACTCGAGGCGCCTTGACTTCCTGGTCTAGACTCTAGACTTGTGATTTCAACCTATTTGTTGTGCCTGTGGTGGCTGGATTCTGTAGGGATTGGGGTTTAGAGGCTAGAGGCAGTAGAACCTCATGACCACGCAGGTGATGAAAGCTATTGGAGCTTTGCTCATGAAAATCATCTTTACTCTTGGGTACATAAGGAGGCTCTCGTTTGCCGAGCTCCTGCAGGTGGATCATCAGCTCTTTGACTGGTACTCCAGACACCACTCGTGCAAATGACCTGGATGGGGATGCAGCCTGTAGCTATGTGGCATACATCTCCTCCAGCGCGCTATCTCCTCCACTTAGCTGCTTGGAATTATGGAGTTCTATTGCTGAGTTTATGTTGCTGAGACTAGTTTGGAATCTTCTGGGACCTTCACAGCCCAAGTTCAGATTGAGGACTTTATTGCTTTTCGCGGGGAAATGGGGGCCAAACTTTGAGAAATGCCTCCAAAACAAGGTTCCACCTGGACCATGAATTGCGGCGGATCCACCCAGAGCGTGGCACTGACCATCGAGGAGGCGCTGGTATCTGCGCATCTGTTGGTGCTGTACCTAGGGTCTTCGTTTAAACTCAGACTCTGCCAAGTTTGGAAACCGATCTTTCGAATTTGTGTAAAGCTTCTTTTGCTTGCATCACTTGAAACGACTTCTTTTGAAGATTGGATGTTTCAGCACGGAGTTTTGGCGCTCAGCCCCTAGCAGGTGAATCGTGATGGGGTGCAGAGTCTTGTCTGCGAACCTCAGAGGATCCAATCTTAGGCAGTAAATTCAGGAGAGGAGCTGTAGTTCTGCAAGGCTATAAGCCGAGTATGCTGGGAATTCTATGTAGATGGATGTGCTTATAGAGAAAGTTTGTTGAGGCGAGTGGATTCGCCGGGTCGTTATGGGTTTGACTGTCAAGCAACCACGTAGTGAAAATCTTAAACGGTTTTGGGAAAGTTCGAGGTAAATCCCTTTGCAATTTGGAAGCCCTGCTATCCCTAAATCAACCCGCTATTGTCCCTACAGTCCAACGCAAAAACCCTTTCCACATCCTGAACAGCTCAGGATAGCTCCAGCTTTCTTCTGCGCATACAATTGCGAGGACAGAGGAAAGGCAGGGCTTTAACGGCTCCGAGTTTGAGGGCTTTAGACAGTCAGGAAATGTCAGGAAGCAATCCTGTGTTTTGAAACCCTAGATCCCTACACCCTGAAGCTGCAGTATGAGCCCCGTTTCGCAAGCCTTAGAAATCCTATGAGCGCTTTGAAGAGGGTCTTGTGCCAGGACCCCTTTGAGGCTAGAATTTGGGAACTGGCCCATTTAATGGTTGAATCTGTGGCTGATGCACTGGAAGGTCGCACTGGGTGGTTCGTGGCCTCCTGCATTGCATCAGTAAACTGACCTGCACCAAATACAACTTACTTGAATGACTCCTCGCCTTCAAGAAGGGTTTTAGATTTTTTCAAGCCTGCCTCTGTTGAGCTTTTAGGGAGCCAACCCTATTGCACTGGATCCTCAGAAACTCTCCGCAGGTGACACGCCCTGGAAGATGCTTCGAGAAAACCGAAATCTTCTCGACGCAGCCTCAGACGTCCTTACTCGGCTGCCGGAATAACAAGGCAACAGCTCATGGTGTTTGTGATAGTGTCGAAAGTCGCAGCAGCCGAGTTTTGCAGCCACGAGGAGAAGATGTAGTACTAATGCCACCCAAAAGGACTGCAGAGGGTGTAGTCTTCATCTTGCATCGAGGCTGCTTCTTCCTGATGTCCTCCCATGATCATCATAATGTCTGCTACTCCTGTAGACATCACAGGCCTTCCATGGCGTAGCGCAGCATCGGACTGAGCTGCCAAGGACACGCGGCGTCAGCTGGATGTACCTTGCCACTCGCATGTCCGAAAGCCGGGTGGCCAAAAGCAGTCTTACCCCGAATCCGTTCAGCTAAGAGACGGCCATGAGGTCGTAGTAATTACTGGTAACATGTCTTTCAAATCATCAATGAAGGTATGCTTGAAGTCTCGAAGTGTGTCATTCAAGTTACCATGCGGTACCTTGTAGTCACTAGATGCAGCTGGGAACACCGCACCAATAACAGAACTCCTTGGTTAGATTCAGTGCTATCCAACTAACAGATTCATTCTACATCTCTACCAAAGTAGGCACCCACTCACCACTGCATTAAAGTGATCCTGCCCTGCAGTTCCAGAGGGTGCCAATGTCAACATTCGCCCGCTCACGGATGAGTGGGCAACCTACAGCGCTGGGGACATGACCTGGGAAGGCACAGAGCACGGGGGGGGGGGGGGGNNGGGGGGGGGGGGTTTTCAGCTTTGGGGATGGTTTTGGGGGTTATAGGATGAGAGCCTCTGGGTTTCTTGAGGCTGGTTCAACGTCAAGTCTGTGCCTGAAGCTGGCCGCTCCATGCTCATGGGCACATTTGGCACCAACGACGCTGATCAGACCTTCAGTACCCAGAACAGGAAACTCGGCTGCGTGACTGAGAGGTGAGGGACCTTTAGAGGGTTGCTACATACCAAACTTGAGGTAGCCAAACAATTTTGGACCCAATTTAACCCACCAAACAGACCGCACCTGCTGTTAAAGTCCAGGGCAACGGCCTCCATTTGTAGGGAGAGTGAAGCTTTGCGCACGGATTGCATTCTCGGCTTGCAAACGAGGAGGCGGCATGGCGCAGTCTGGTTAGAAACTGATGGGACGCTGGGGCTCAGCACCAACACAGGCGAGCTGCTGGGGCCGCACTGGCCGGGGTTTGTGGTCGTAGCCACTTGACAGGTTTCCGCCAATGCAGAGCATTGAGGTCAAGTGGCTACATACCAGGCCCCAATGTGATTGACGGCAAGCCGCTCGACCGCCTGCCGCCCGTGCCAGCAAGCACCAGACGTGACACGAGAAACGGGAATGTAGCAATGACGAGGACAAAATGACATAGTCACATAGTCATGTCATATTTGTCGCGGTAAGAACATCAATTAAGTGGTGGTCGTGTTACCCTAAATGATTCCAAAATCACTGTTTGGTTTCATTGGCATATTCTGTTTTAATAGGAGGTAGGCTGTGGACCATGTAAGCTGGCAATATTGGAACTTCAAATCCACCAGCCTTAAACTCCGCCCTTGCAGTAGCCGCAGGATCGCTTTGCCCTCGGCCGAGAGATCTTCAAACCGTAAACTGCCAAGCCATATCGGTAGTATTGCGATTGAGGTTCTGAGGGAAGGTGCAATGGCAAGAGTGGACTCCAATTTTTTTTGTGGCAATTTGATGTAATTAAGTTTCACTGGCCTGCAGCTCTAATGCTCCTAACAAATCCTAGAACCTTTCCCCAAGGTGGCACCACATCGCTGCTGTATGGAATCAGACATCGGGCGGCGGTGCGCAAATCTACAAAAGCTGCTCGCGTCGGAGTAAAGACTTGACACTCGAGGTTTTCAGGTTGTCCGCCTGCGTTGAACATGTAAGGGTTTTGGTGTTTGGCCTTTGGATCCCAGGGCTGAGGTGCAAGCTTTCGGTATCTGAGTTCTGCATTCTTGTGCATAGAGTGCGAAAGAATTGAGGACAGGTGTGGCTTCTCTGCAATTCTCACCTGACACGATGGCATTCATGATTGCAATGATATTCAGTACATAAGTTTTGACGTTCCAGGCCCCTTTGCAGCTCTGCCCTCCTGATATGCAAGTTGCTTGCAACATTTGAGGTCAAAGGCTAAAAAGGTTCCTCAGGTAAGACATCCGATGCACTTTGCTTGTACGTCTACTCAGACTGAATGTGCAAAATGCCGTAGGGAGACTGTGCTGGTAGTCTGCACCATTCAAACTCCTGGAAAAAATCCGAGGCTTCAAGTTCATGCATGTGCGCTATCTTACCATCATCGGCGTCCTGGCCTGGCTGGAAAGTAGAGACATGCCCCCTTTACCCAAGAGGGTCTAGTCTCAGGGGTTTCGTCTAGCTTCATTAGCGTCACTAGCACTTTAGTTCTTGTAGGGTTCCAGGCCCCGGGTCTCACAGAGGCTCCGCAAGGCATGATTTGGCCTTAGATGGTTCAGCGCAGAGGCTAGATTGCTTCCATGCCATTTTGTCAAGACCAGGTTGGGAAACAGATTGATCGGTAGGGCATTGATTGCGTCCACCTCAAAAAGGTAGGAATCCCGACCCCTTAAGCTGGACCTTCACATAAAACTCTAAAAAATGTCCCGGACCCGCCTGCTCCACCCAGGCAGGTCTGAAATCGAAGATAGCCTCATCCTCAACCTCAAGGCCTAGGACCTTACCCTGATAGCAAAGCTTCTGGATTTCTTCGGGAACCATAGGAGTATGCAGGGATTGTAAGAGCATTTTGTTGGGGGATCGGGGTCTCAGGGCTTTGGGCTTTCCACCCTGCCACCCTGCTCAAAGGCAGGCGCCTCGATTTTTCTGGTAGTAGGTTTTGCCTTATGTAGGCAGCTGAAAGTTGAAAACAAAGGTGTCCTTTGTATCTTTCATGACACGGACCTGTGGCACCTGTTGTCGACCCGCTAAAGCCAACTAACCCATGCGTAGAATGCCTGTAAAATCTGTATTTTTTTGATCAGGCTTTGCTTGGGCTAAGAACACGTTTCAAGGTTGTGACAAGCTTTTTTATTCACAGTGGGGCATCTCCAACCCCAACCCTGAACTCAAAGCATTTGACGCGTCTCGTTGGGGCAGAAATGCTTTGTGCCTTGATTCCCTGCAGGCTGCCATGGCGGCTGAGGCCAACATGACCTCGGACGACGCTTCTCTGCTGCTCTTGGGGTTTTGGGACTCAGAGTTTATAGTTTGTAGGGCAGAGGTCCAGAGGTCACGGATTTGAGGGCAAGGCCGTTTGGTGGTGTGGGGTTTAAGCATGTAGTTGCGGGGTTTAGGAGGCTCTTCTAAGGCACTCTAGGGTTCTATGCAGCTGCATTTGGCTACGGGCATGTGCACGGGTGATGCCAGGTGCCTCGCCAGTCTGACACCCACTAGAGGATCGAGCAGCTGCTAGGAAAAGACGTCTTTACTATGAGGTGAACTTGAGCACGGGATGTCATGAGATCGAACCTAAATCCTGGAAGGCAGCGCAGAATAAGAGAAGATACCAGAATATCCTCACGACCTGCAACCCAACCCAGGTGTGGGTCTACTTGACGGTTGCTTGGCGAGATCTGAGTCGCTGCTGTTCCTCCGCACGGTCAAACCATCATCGCAACCCCTCCATTGCGAGGTGTTCATGCGGCATAAGCGAACTGTACCAAAAAAGAGCACTAGTGTTAGAACATACCTATGTCATGTTGCGAAAAATTCACTTAAAGGCGGTAAGGTCCATGCTAGAGGCCAGCGATGTCAGCTCGGACCTGCTGAGGGGATATGCCTCAGTCAAGTATAAATGGCAGATACAGCAGAGATTGCCAAAAGTTTTCTAGTTCTAGGCAAGGACGAGGGGTCCACACTTCCATCATTGCGTTGGAGAGATGCTCAATGTCGTGGCGTGGGAGTTTCCCGATCCTGAGCAGGGAACTTTCTACAGTCTTGATATACCCCTAGACTCGGCTTCGAGGGGTCAGTCTGCAATTTTGACAGGGGTCCTTAGAAGAGACCCGCAAACACTCATTACGTACCCCAGCGCCGTTGGGATCAGAAATGGTTTATGTTTGTCAAGGCTCCTTTATGGCCGCAGGCCTACATTCCGCAATTGTGGCTCTACGTCCGAAATTTGTGACAGCAAAGCGCGGAGTAGTGCGTAGCACTTCGGCGGGAACAAGGCGATTTCAAAGAAGGAGCAGATAGGTTCTGTATTCTGTAGATTTTTAGACACCTTCATTCTCCATCTGAGGATGAGCAGGTGATCGGAAACGAAGGGCGCACTGCTGTGTCCATGGTGGCCACTCGCTTCGACAGACGTTTGGGGTCACCGGTAAAAGAAAGGACTCAATGGGCCTGCATGTTCGACATCCAGTAAACTGAAGTCAGAATGCCCCTACTTACTTGTTTACTTTCAAGTTTACAGCAAATACCAACCTTTGAGATGCTCCAAGAGTCTTCTGAATCAGCACGCAGTTGCTACAACCTGACCGCGTTTTGTTCACATCCCAGTCACAAGCCTAGATCGACCAAGCCACCTTAAAGCCTCTGAGTTGCGATTTCCATATCTGCTACAGGCAGAAGTACTGCCGGGTAAAAAGCGCATAAGTGTGATGGTTTTTGGGTCAAGGGGCCTGGAATAGGGAGTATGGCCACATGTGTGTGCTGTCCTGAAGCGCAGCAATTTCAACTTCTTGCTAGTACCATGACCGTATATAAGTAGCAACAGAAGGGTGTCCAGTATGTGGTTCCTTGATACTTTGAGGATATTACTGTCAGACCTACAGGCACCAAGACTTTGTAAGTCATGGAAAGCTTGAAACCAATATTACTTTCTTCATGGTTTTGATATAGTCCCCATTACCATTCGCGCACACAGCTGTAATGTTTCAATACGAATGCATGTTCAATATGAACAATACAAAAGTGAGACACACTTGGATACATGGGGCGGAGTACGTACGGCAATACAGACCTTAGCCCCCAAAATACATGTGTATACTCTTTGGATATGAAAAGCTTCCTCTACAACTCGAGATTGATACAGTTTTAATTCACTTTCACTCCAGCAGTAAAAGCATCTTGAACACTGGCTAGAAGACAGACTTGAATTAGGTCCTACCCTTGTCGGGGAGGTACGCGAATAGGAAGTTGCATTGAAATTGTATCAGTTCGCATTGAGCATGCAGAATGTATTCTGGGGACGGTAGACCCTCACGTAGGATAGACCCTGAATCGTATACAGATCGTATTCAAATCGCTTTTGGGAGCCAGAATGCGGAAAACTTCGAATTTTCTGCCAGAAATGCGAGGATGCGATTTGGATGAAGTTTGGAGTCTGGACCTCCTGCCTGGCCTTCTTGCCTCCAAATTGAATCTGAACCGTATCGAAAGCGTATCCCGTTGCATTTTGGGGACAGCATGCTCGGGAAAAATACAACTCTGATACAGTTCCGATGCGGATAAACTTGGATATCATCCCATTTGTTGGAAAGCCTGGCCAATACGATTTAGACATTGTTTCCATACGGTTCTGATGCCGGGGAAAATACAAGGGTCGATGCGACCTTAATGTATAAGACTTGTATCACAAGGTGTATTAGGAACCATATTGAACTTGTATGACAACCTGTATGACAACCCAAATCTAAAACCATATCTAAACTGCATTCGAACCTGCATCGAAATCAAAATTCTATCACAGGTCGTATTTGTCGTTCGTTTTCCAAACATTTTAAACCTTGCAAGAAGCCGAGTGTGGAACATGTGCAGCTTGTCAGTTTAGGATTGCCGCTTCATATTCACCACACCTACATCCTCGCTTACATGCCCCCTCAAAAAGACGGCAAACACTTGAGTTTCCTGACGTGTCATTTTTAATTTAAATTTTCCAGGTGAACGTTGAGAGGAAGTCTGCCGATCTGGCCCTGGCCCGCATTGTCCGAAGTGACACGTTCGAGGCAAGCGCCTCGTCTCAGACACATGCAGTTCTGGCTCTAGGGCTTGAAGTTTAGGGGTGAAAGTTTAGGGTTTGGGGATTCGGGCTTAGGCATGCCATGGGATATCAGATCAATATGTTGGGGTCAGAAGTATGACAATTGTGCTCGACCATGTATTGGCGTAGCGTTTAGGGTTTCAGCAGTCCTTCTCCCGATGCTCCGACCCTGGCGTTTGGCATGATGAATTGAGGAGAAGTTTTTGCCACAAGGTTTGGAGCACATGGCTGTGGATGTAGGGCGCAGAGTTGAAGAAGGATTGAGATTTGCACGGTGCGAACACATTCATTCTGTTAAGCATTGCTACTGCCATGTATTGGCATGCTTTGTTGTGGTGGTGGTGGTGGTGGTGGTGGTGCTGCTGCTGCTGCTGCTGCTGGTCGTGGTGGTGGTGGTGGTGGTGGTGGTGGTGGTGGTGGTGAGTTTCGCTCTTACCATCTGTGTGGGTTTCTTCTTGTACTGGCGGTAACATTTTTCCGTTGGCCGTGCTTAGCTTCTGCATGAAGAGTGAAATCATGTAATAAGTGAAAAACACTGGATTTTGATGTCAA